CTTGCCTATGCCTATGTCCTGAATGGCTTTGCCTAGGTTTTCTTCTAGGGTTTTTATGGTGTTAGTTCTTATGTTTAAGTCTTTAATCCATCTGGAGTTAATTTTAGTGTAAGGTGTCAGGAAGGGGTCCAGTTTCTGCTTTCTGCACATGGCTAGCCAGTTTTCCCAACACCATTTATTAAACAGGGAAACCTCTCCCCATTGCTTATTTTTGTCACGTTTGTCAAAGATCGGATGATTGTAGATGTGTAGTGTTACTTCCAAGGCCTCTGTTCTGTTCCATTGGTCTATATCTCTGTTTTGGTACCAGTACCATGTTGTTTTGATTACTGTAGACTTATAATATAGTTTGAAGTCAGGTAGTGTGATGTCTCCAACTTTGTTCTTTCTTCTTAGAATTGTCTTGGATATGCTGGCCCTCTTTTGGTTCCATATGAAGTTTAAGGTGGTTTTTCCAGTTCTGTCAATAGGGTCAGAGGTAGCTTGATGGGGATAGCATAGAATTTATAAATTACTTTGGGCACTATGGCCATTTTCACAATGTTGATTCTTCCTAACCGTGAGCATGGAATGTTTTTTCATCTGTTCGTGTCCTTTCTTAATTCCTTGAGCAGTGGTTTGTAGTTCTCCTTGAAGAGGTCTTTTACTTCCTTTGTTAGTTGTATTCCAGGGTATTTTATTCTCTTTGTGGCAATTGTGAATGGGAGTTTACTCTTTATTTGCCTCTCTTTTATTCTGTTACTGGTGTATATAAATGCTTGTGATTTCTGTACATTGATTTTGTATCCTGAGACTTTGCTGATGTTGCTTATCAGTTTCAGGAGATTTGGGGCTGTGATGATGTGGTCTTCTAAATATACAATCATATCATCTACAAATAGAGACAATTTTGTCTTCCTCCTTTCCTAATTGGATACCCTTTATTTCTTTTTCTTTCCTGATTTCTTGCCTGGTTAGAACTTCCAGTACCACATTGCATAAGACTGATAAGGGAGAGCATCCTTGCCTAGTGCCAGATTTCAAAGGGGATGCTTCCAGTTTTTGCCCATTCAGTATGATATTGGCTGTGGATTTGTTGTAAATAGTGTTTATTATTTTGAGATACGTTCCATCGATTCCAAGTTTATTGAGAGTTTTTAGCCTAATGGCTGCTGAATATTGTCAAAGACCTTCTCTGTATCTATTGAGATAATCATGTGGCTTTTGTCTTTGGTTCTGTTTATTTGGTGGATTATGTTTGTAGACTTGCATGTGTTGAACCAGCCTTGCATCCCTGGGATGAAGCCTACTTGATCGTGATGGATAAGCTTTTTCACGTGTTGTCATAATTCGTTTGCCAGTAATTTTATTGAAGATTTTCGCATCTGTGTTCATCATAGATATTGGCCTGAAGTTTTCTTTTTTTGTTGAGTCTTTGCCAGGTTTTGGTATCAGGATGATCTTGGTCTCATAAAATGATTTGGGAAGGATTCCCTCTTTTTGTATTGTTTGGAATAGTTTCAGAAGGAGTGGAACCAGCTCCTCTTTGTATGTCTGGTGGAAATCGGCTGTCAACCCATCTGGACCTGGGCTTTTTTTAGTTGGTAGGCTATTAATGACTGCATCAACTTCAGCCCTTGTTATTGGTTCATTCAGGGTTTCAACTTCTTCCTGGTTTAGACTTGGGATGGTGCAAGTTTCCAGGAATTTATGTATTTCTTCCAGGTTTACTGATTTATTTGCATAGAGTTGTTTGTAGCAATCTCTGATGGCAGTTTGTATTTCTTTGAAATCAGTGGTGATATCCCTTTTATTGTTTTTTATTACATCTATTTGATTCTTCTTTCTTTTATTTTTTATTAATCTGGCTAGTGATCTGTCTATTTAGTTGGTATTTTCAAAAAACCGGCTCCTGAATTATAGATTTTTTGAAGGGTTTTGTGTCTCTATCTTCGCTCTGATCTTAGTTATTTCTTGTCTTCTGCTAGCTTTTGAGGTTTTTTTTTTTCTTGCTCCTCTAGCTCTTTTAATTTTGATAATAGGGTGTCAATTTTATATCTTCCTTTGCTTCTCCCTGGGCATTTATTGCTATAAATTTCCCTCAAGACATGTTTTAAATGTGTCCCAGATATTTTGGTACGTTGTGTATTCACTCCCGTTGGTTTTGAATAACATCTTTATTTTTGCCTTCATTTTATTGTTTATCCAGTCAACCTTCAAGAGCCACTTGTTCAGTTTCCATGAAGTTGTGTGGTTCTGAGTTAGTTTCTTAATCTTGAGTTTTAATTTGATTGCACTGTGGTCTGAGAGACTGTTTGTTATTATTTCCTTTCTTTTGCATAGGCTGAGGAGTGATTTACTTCCAATTATGTGGTCAATTTTAGAATACGTGAGATGTGGTGCCGAGAAAATTTGTATTTTCTGTGGATTTGGGATGGAGAGTTCTGTAGATGTCTATTAGGTTTGCTTGGTCCAGATCTGAGTTCGAGTCCTGGATATCCTTGTTAATTTTCTGTCTTGTTGATCTGTCTAATATTGACAGTGGAGTGTTAAAATTTCCCACTATTATTGTATGGGAGTCTAAGTCTCTTTGTAAGCTGTTAAGAATTTACTTTATGTATCTGGGTGCTCCTGTATTGGCTGTGTATATATTTAGGATCGTTAGCTCTTCTTGTTGTATTGCTCATTTTACCATTACGTAATGCCCTTCTTTGTTTCTTTTTATCTTTGTTGGTTTAAAATGTCTTTTATCAGAGATTAGGATTGCAACTCCTGCTTTTTTTTGCTCTCCATTTGCTTAGTAAATCTTCCACCATCCCTTTATTTTGAGCCTATGTGTATCCTTGCAGGTGAGATGGGTTTTCTGGATAAAGCACCATGATGGGTTTTAAGTTTTTATCCAATTTGCCAGTCTGTGTCTTTTGATTGGGACATTTAGCCCACTTACATTTAAGGTCAAATTGTTATGTGTGAATTAAATCCTGCCATTTTGATGCTAGCTGGTTGTTTTGCTCATTAGTTGATGCAGGTTCTTCATTGTGTCAATGCTCTTTACCATTTAGTACATTTTTGGCGTAGTTGGTACTGGTTGTTCCTTTCTATGTTTAGTGCTTCTTTCAGGAACTATTGTAAACCAGGCCTGGTGGTAACAAAATCTCTCAACAATTGCTTGTTCAGATTTTATTTCTCCCTCACTTATGAAACTTAGATTGGCTGAACATGAAATTCTAGGTCAAAAGTTCTTTTTTTTAAGGATGTTGACTATTGGCCCCACTCTTTTCTTGCTTGTGGGGTTTCTGCAGAGAGATCCACTATGACTCTGATGGGCTTCCCTTTGTGGGTGACCCAACCTTTCTCTCTGGCTGCCTTAGCATTTTTTCCTTCATTTCAACCCTGGTGAATGTGAAGGTTATGTGCCTTGGGGTTGCTCTTCTTGAGGAATATCTTTATGGTGTTCTCTGTATTTCCTGGACTTGGATGTTGACCTGCATTGCTAGGTTGAGGAAGTTCTCCTGGATAATAACCTGAAGAGTATTTTCCAGCTTGCATTCATTCTCTCCATCACATTCAGGTACACCTATCAAACGTAGATTAGGACTTTTCACATAATCCCATATTTCTTGGAGGCTTTGTTCATTTCTTTCACTCTTTTTTTCTCTAATCTTGCCTTCTCATTTTATTTCATTGAGTTGGTCTTCAATCTCTGATAACCTTTCTTCTGCTTGGTTGATTCAGCTATTGAAACTTGGGTATGCTTCATGGAGTTCTCCTGTTGTGTTTTTCAGCTACATCAAGTCATTTATATTCTTCTCTAAACTGTTTATTCTCTTTAGCATTTTGTCTAACCTTTTTTCAAGGTTCTTAGTCTCTTTGCATTGGGTTAGAGCATGTTCTTTTAGCTCAGAGAAGTTTGTTATTACCCATCTACTGAAGCCTATTTCTGTCAATTCATCACATTCATTCCCCATCCAGCTTTGATCCCTTGCTGGTGAGTGGTTGTGATCCCTTGGAGTAGGAGAGGCATTCTGGCATTCTTTTTTTTTTTTTTTTTTTTTTTTTGCCATAAAAATACTTTATTAGGTCAAACCACACACTATAAAAATGCTTTAAAATGTAGCAGGAGGAGATGTAAAGACTCAAAGAAGTTAAAGAAGTAGCAATGGCTATCAGAACATCCTAAAGAATCCACACTACTTCCCCCTTTACCTAGAAAAGGAAGCTTCTAGGCTGCCTCCTCCTCAGCACTGTAACAAAACACATCTTAACTAAATTGCATAAGACAAGTAATAAATAGAATGTCCTTTAAAAATGCAGAAAAAGCCCAGTTGCATTGGCTCACATTTGTAATCCCAGCACTGTGGGAGGCCGAGGTGGGTGAATCACAAGGTCAGGAGTTCAACACCAGCCTGGTCAACAAGGTGAAACCCCATCTCTACTAAAAATTCAAAAATTAGCCAGGCATGGTGGCAGAACCCTGTAATCCCAGCTATTTGAGACACTGAGGTAGGAGAATCACTTGAAACTGGAAGGCAGAGGTTGTGGTGAGCCAGGATGGCACCACTGCCTTCCAGCCTGGGCAACAAGAGCAAATCTCTGTCTAAAAAAATAAAATAAAATAAAATAAATTTAAAAAAATGCAGAAAGAAAAACACATTGAAGGAAATGAAAAAAGTTAAACACAAGAGCAGATTTCTGTTTAGAAATATTGCAAGATAAGAAACTATTAACATCTTTGAAATGTAAAAAGAAATCAATCATGCTAAAATCCTCATAAAGAAAAAATATATTTGAATAATAAAGTTTAAATAAAGATATTTTCAGACACACAAAACATCAGGGATTGAGTCTGTCATGAAAGCCTGAAGCCAGGGTCTATGTGGCTCCACCTGGCGGTTCTGGAGGCTTAGTCCATAGGTACTGGTCTGGAATACTGGGACATGGGGTCTGCTTGGTTCTGAGTTTTAAACAGAAGTAAAATGATACCAGATAGAAATCTGTATCTACAAAAGGAATTAAACAGAGCTAGATATTTAGATATGGATAAATGTAAATATTGTTCTTATTGTATAAATTTCTCTAAAATGTAATATGTATAAAGATGATTGATTAAAGAAAAACAATAAAATATTTTGCCTGGTTTAAAACAAACTTATAAATAAACTACAATACAACAACAGCACAAGAAAGCGAGAAAGGAAAATGTAAGGTTGACAGGCTGTAGGTGAAGTATTATAATATTATTTGAATGTAGACTATGATAAGTTAAATATATACATTATATACTCTGAATGAACAATGAAACAGTATTGAAAATAAATAGCCAACATGGAATTCGAATTCCTTTTGTAGATACAATTTTCTATCTGGTATCATTTTACTTCTGCTTGAATAATTTCCTTTTACATTTTTTGCAGTGCTACATTGCTGGTGATAAGGCAGAGGGGAGAGTAAGATGACAGAGTAGGACTTTCTAGTAATTGTCCATGCCACCCTCCCCCCACAAAAATATTCATACAAAGTCCAATTCATACAAAAGAAAGCAGAAAATGAGGTAAAAGACAAAGAATTAACTGGACAAATAAGAAATAAATGTCAAATTTGTAGAGTTAAATATAAGTGAATCAATAATAGTCCCACTGAGAAAAAAAATTATCTAAATTCCATAAATAAAAGAACAGATAAACTATTTAGTTTTCTAATTAAGCAACATCTTATTTTATTATATATAATAAGTACTGTATGAACTCTATGGTGCCTAGTAACACTAGTAAACTATGAAATTTTATATAATGTAATAAGACAATTTTGAATCATATATTGGAATTTCTAGTGAAGAAAATAATTTCAAATTTATGTGTGGAAGAGGAGGAAAAATGTATATTTATTGTCAAAGTTCAGGAGATAAATGATTATGTGAACAGATTCCTTTTGTCATAGGAAAGAAGACAGAGGATGAATAAAGAGTATTCTAAAAGGTAGAAGAAAAAGAAAATTAGTGATTAATTTTATATGAGGCATAGGATACATAAATAAGAAAATATTAGGTTGCAAGCTTTTGTCATGGGGATATGCTGCTACTGTTGACTTCAAGACAGATGGAGAATAATTTGGGGTATGGACAAAAGTTTTATGGCGAGCCAATTTGGCTTTATTTATTTTAAAATATGTCTATATGAATGAAACAAATCCCACACCCCAAACTTGCTGTAGAAGAAAGCAGCATGAGAAAACTTCATATCACAAAATGAGCAAATATTGCCCCAAAATATATGCATATAAATAGCAGTGTTTCTGGACTCTATTGTGTATTTCTTTTATTTTTATCTACTTGCCATTTCTGTTTATTCCTACACACATTTTTATAGTTACAATGATTAAAACATTTGCAGTGGGGTCTGGTGGCTTATGTCTCTCAGTCTAGCACCTTGGGAAGCTAAGGTGAGCAGATCATCTCAGCCCAGGAATTCTAGACCAGTCTGGAAAACATCACCAAATGCTGTCTCTACAAAACATACACAAATTAATGGGCATGGTGGCACGCTAATTTTTCCCAGTTACTCAAGAAGCTGAGGTAGGAAGATAGCTTCAGCCCAGAAGGTGGAGGCTGCAGTGAACCATGATCTTGAATCTGCCCTCTAGTCTGGGTGGCAGAGCAAGACTCTGTCTCAAAAAAAGGGAAAGACAGACAGAAAGAAAACCTTTAAAATCTGACACAGAGACATTTTATCTAGAGTCTTGTTAAAAATTTGGCTTCAGGACTCTTACAAATTCATTGATTCATAATATTCTTATCACCTTATCAAGTTCCATGAAGAGTATTATTTAGATTATAATTAGGAGTCCTTTGAATTCATATATTAACTTTCATAAAATAGCAGCACTGCAAAAATTAAATTTCTCATAAAGCTTTTGGTGTATTTCTCTGATTCTTTAAGAGTCTTTTATTCCTCAGAGAAAAATTTTAGTTATTTTTAATGAATCTATGTGTACCAGTTGCACAGTGCACTTTAAATGTGATTTTTATAATTACAAGATATTCAACTATTTTATGATTATTTACTGGTACCTAATTGTTTAACCATGGACAAGATGAATAAAGCATTATCAACATTACTTGTTTATGATTATTAGTTTTACATATTCAGAAATGTAAATATTTTTGTGATTTACATAGCTTTTCACCTGGATAAAATTGTATTTCTAATAATATAGTTAACATATTTTATTCATATTCTAATTTTCTGTCATAATTGCATTACTGAGGTAAATTATACCAGACCCATTTATAACAGTCTTCAAATGCATTATGATTCAATTCACAGTACTGTGTACCTAAAGTATGACATTCATATTCTGTGTTTCTTTCTTCATTTCTTGCTGGATGAACAAATGCACTCAAACACCAACATTCATTGAAAGAGCAGCCTAGGGGGGCATGGTCACTCACAGACACTCAAGGAAGGTGCTATAAAGACCTAGCAGCCATGACCCTGGCTCACTGGCATTGCCAGGCCTTTATTCAGCACATAGTAAATGACAAAGTCTTTGAGTCAACATCATTAAGGGGTAAGCAACCTGTTCCCCGCCTGCCCCCTGAGAGAGTCATCTGGCTTGTGAATGATTAAAGGTTACTTTTAGGGCCACATAAGTAAACCAGTTATTTTGATAAACTTCCTTACATTCTTTTGTTATTTACTCTTGCTATCATCTCAAAGAGAATTAGGCTGCTTTCAGCCATAATTCTATTCTGAGGCTTTTGCAAAACCTTCTGGTCTTCCAAAAAGGTTGTGACTATTTCCTATAACTATCTTTATAATTTCTCTAACAACTCTTCCTACAACCCTAAGTTTTTCTTATCTTTTTATAAGCATACATGTGATTGGTTTGTTGATCTTGCCTTACCAGGCAGGCCAAGAGCTCCCCTTCTAATGCAGGGTCCCACGGCTGTAGTGTATCCCTGGTCTTTTTTCATATCTACTGGAGAAAGGAGCTCAGGCAAAACCGCTGTTTCCTCTTTCTTTGCCCGGTGATGATGTTACTGGGACCCATTGCCCTTGAACATGATGCTGTTTAAGATTTCTCCCCACTTGTTTCCAGAGCTGTATGTCTAGTGTATTTTCTGCTGGGAACCATGGGCTTCCTCCTCACACAGGACACCAGCTGTCGAAGTCCAACCTGTATACCCTGACCCAGCCACGGATGAACAAATGCACTCCTGATATTCAGTGAAAGAATTGGGTAGGGGTCCATGGCCACTCACAGACATTCAAGGAGAGTTCTGTAAAGAGCTAGTATCTGCAGCCCCAGCTCACTGGCCCTGCTGGCCTTTATTCAGCACACATTAAATGACAAGGCTTGAGTCAACACCATTAGAGGGTAGTGAACCTAATTGCCTTCCCCAAACACCCCCTGCTTCCCAGAGAATCATCCTGCTCATGAATGATTAAATATTAATTTTAAAGCCACATGAGTAAACAAGTTTTTTAGATAAACTCCCTTACATTCCTTTGTTATTTAGTCTTGCTATTAGCTTATAGAGAATTAGACTGCCTTCAGCCATAAGTCAATTCTAAGGCTGTTGCAAAACCTCCTGGCCTTCCAAGAAGGTTTGTGACTATTTCCTATATCTATCTTTATAATTTCTCTTACCACTCTTCCTACCACCCTGAATGAACCCCCACACATTAGTAATAAACAAATTAATAAAATGCTGAGGTGTGGTGACAACTATTGCATGGCGTTAGAAAGACTTTCCAATTATAACTCCACTGCTGTGATTTTCATAGCGTTGAAGAGTAGTGTCAAACATGAGTGCCACATAAATCTTTTGTGGCAACTAAGCACCTCTGACATTGTAGCACAAAGGCAGCCAGGGGTAATATGTAAATAAATAAGTGTGATTATTTTCTAACAAAATGTTAGTATTGATACAGAAGTTGAATTCATATAACTTTTATGTGTCACAAAGAATTAAACCTTATTTGAAATTTTCAATAATTTAAAAATTTTTTAAAAAGCATTCCTAACTATTGGCCTGTATGAACACAGGTTGCCAGATCTGAGTGACAGACCTTTATTTGTTAATCCCTATGTTAATTTAATCTCTTCCTGAAGACAAGTTCAATTTGACACACACTTCTTTTTCCCCCCACTTTTCCTGAGCTGTAGACAGATATTTTAATGAGTCATAGGAACTTGAAATCTTTCTCTAAACCTCAAGCTTGACCAACACTGACACTGCCTAATGAACTATCACAGTCATTACTCTTAGCAAATGTTTTGCCAAGGTATAGGGATGTTTCATTTCCAGTCTCCATATCGGCTTTCTTGGTGTACAACTTCTGACCACTGAGTAATGTCCTGAATTTCACTTTCTGTGTTGTCATTGTAACATGTATTTTTCTTGGAGCACCATCCTTCAAAGTATCCATTTCAATTGAATATCAACTAGGTTAAATTGCTTAAAAATGCTGAAAACCTGTAATTATTTATTGCAACAAAATTTTGTGTCTTTACTCCAAATAAGATAATACAATTTGGTGAGGAAGGTGGTCTTCAAATATTGCCTTTGTCATCATCTTCTCCTTTATGACCCACATGTAACAGAGAAGAATAAAGAGATGAACGCGCAGGAGGCTTCATCTGCAATGCAAGGAAATTGTGCATGTTTCTTCCGCTGCCTTTCCATCAATTAGCCATACAGTAAGATTAAAGTAAAATCAGAGTTTTATGAACAGCTATCCTTCTTCAGTATGCAATCTAGCTAGTAAGATATTTTTTGCCTTCTACGCCAAAATAAGTTACAATTATCCTGAAATGTCAAAGCTGTTAGACCAGAATAGTACAACTCTTTTCAATTTATTTAGAGATCAAATGATTGATGCTTTGGCATGTGTGTAATTCAAGGTTTTCAGTTACTTTGATCATTAATACAGTGTGTGCAGAGAATTCCAATGAAATTCCATATTCCTTCCACTGACAAGCCTTTAATTCAACTTAATTCAATTAAAGTCAGCTCAATTCAACTCTTCTTTCCCAAAGCTTGTTCCTGGTGTGTCTTATCGCCAGATCTGATTGCAATACATTCCAAAGTTTGGCTGGTAAAAGCGTCTCCCTCCTTTACTACATATTTATTCTCCCTGTATTTTGGGCCTTACATCTTATAATGTGTGTCATCAGTCACTAAAATCTTATCAGTTTTTGAATTTTTTGAACATGTAGGAAAATGCATAATTTTACTTTGAATCTTTCATTTTAAATTAAATATATTTTACCCTATTCTTTTGATAGTACTTGGGGATGCAGTGGAGGAGAATTTGTGCTTACTTTTCCATTCAAAGATATGTTTGCCTTTGAGTAAATTCAGAATAAAATATTTTTAAAATAAATTGTTCACCATTATGGAAAAAAAATCATTAATCTATCTGGATTAGATTGAAATAGAATATGAATGTAAAAGAAGTTGGAGTTATTACAATATATGACTCCATGTTCTTTAAGTAACATTTTTTATATGTAAGTATTTTACATTATAATATAATAAAATGTGTTACTACCAAACATACATGTTTTTGTTACTAATTTTTCCAAAAGTTATCATTGAGAAATATTTTCCTTAAAATAAATTTTAATTGTATATACATATATATACACACACAACAGAAAAAGGTTACTAATTTTTCTAAAAGTTATCACTGACAAACATTTTTCTTAAAATAAATTTCAATTATATATACATATACACACACACACACACACACACCAGAAAAAGGTGAATTTACAGATATATTTCTTAATTATTTCAATTTCTAAAAGTGATATATTTAATGCTTCCTCAATTTCAGTTTAGAAAGAAATCGAGTAAATTGAGTGATGTAAAATATATTTGTTCAATGTCAAAATAAATGTGTGGTTGATTGAGTTGCATCTCAAATATGGAATACACAGTTCACCTGATGGAAAATATAGTTGAGCTGACAGGAGTGATGTTGATTGGTCAGTAGTCATTATTAAAAGAAAACACCAACCAACCAAGCAAAAACAGATGCAATCATAAAATATATAATGTCAAAAAGGGAAGATTGAGACACCACCCCATCTAACAATTTTTCTTTAACTTATATAAATGATAGGCCCACTGAGTAGAATAATTTGTACAAAATCACATTACTCAGTAATTAAATGAATAAAGAAAACAAATATCTCCTTATGAGATTACCATATGCTGCTTTGCTTTTTATTTTATTACATTTTCTTTCTTGCGTAATAAATTATTTTTAACTGCAACAATTGTGCTGCAGGAGCCTGAGATCTGAGACACTGGATCTTGTGAACAGCCTTACTGCTCCATTCAGACACCATGGCCAAATATATGCATTGACACACAGATAAAATGGATGGTGAAGCACCAGGGACAAATAACAGCAGGAGATTAGAAAATGCATTTAGGCCTGAAGGGACAAAGGGAGTGAATGGTGTTGCCAGAACAAGACTTTATTTTTGTTTTCCTAGTGCTTGTAGGAATATTTTATTTAAGATATGTTTTATAATTTTTGTAAAGCAAATTTTTATGCTTTGCTTCATAATTTTGAATGTTTGTTTAACTCCATTTTTAACACATGCAATAATACATGGTAGAGACAATGTCATATTTATTTTTGCATTTTTCCAATACTAAAAATGTGGTTTGGCTCATAGTGAGTGCTCAGTATCTATTGATGTCATTACATATTACATATCAATAATATTTACATTTATTTGAGTTTCAGAAATTATATTTTATGAAGCTCCGTTTATCAAAATATTCATGTTTTGAGAACTATGACATTAAACAGATGTTATTTCTTCAAGTTCTTCCCAAATATGATATTATTGTCAAAGAAAATTGTGCATCAGGCAAAATAAACAGGTAAGAAGGACTTTAAGACTACTGCAATAAAGAGGAGATATTGAACTGAACACAGCTGAAAAAAAGGAGGGGGAGTTTTTTAGCACCGGGGTGATCTAGTGAAAAGTACTGGAGGGCATAATAAGAGAGGCTGGTAATGTGATGAGTCATTCTGTCTTTGCTAATTGGCAGTTATCAATTTTTAGCTCTTGCTCTCTCACAGAGAAAGAGTTGCTATCTTTATTGACTGCATTTCAAAGAGATGGCTCTCAGGTCCTTGAAAAAGGCATTGCTTGCTTATAAAACCAGCAGAAGCCTGTGAAAAGATTTATATGCCAATGGGACGGAGACAAAATTTACAATTTAACTTTTCTAAATAAATGCTCTTTAAAAAAGGGAGGTCAGGGACCTGTAATGAGAAAAAAAATTGTCTAAAATTTACTCAATCACGGGAATATGAGGGCTGTTTTGATTACTATATAAAATGTACTGAGTTAATAAAATTAAAAGAGCATGTAGTTATTTGCTTTAAAAAAGAATAATCATTATAGGTAGGATTTTTAATTAATTTCATGTAAGTATTTACCCACAGAGTTCTTTAAGAGAACTAGTGGCCCATGGTGAAGAATTAAGAAAATTCTGACAAAATTTATATAAAATTTTACAGTTCTTATGGAAAGAAGATATTTGATATTTTTCTCCCAGAACCAGTATTAAAACATAAAGCCAAAAATAAAAATATAATACAAAGAATAAAAACCTCTGAACTAATATCTATTCCTAGTATAACACTAAAATCTGCATAATGTGAAAAAACATATTAATTCTCAAGAGCATTTTTCTACAACTGTTATGTGATTTCTAATTTCTTCTCATTATTGCTTATACGATTATTCATTTACATTAAGAGCAAAAACATAGCTAGAGATGGAAATAAAAGAGGAGATAAAATAGAAAATGAGCACATTCTAAAAGAGAACATTAGCAAATATGTTGTGTGAAAATGAATAAAACAAATGCATTTACAGTCACGCGTGGCTTAATGACAGGGATACATTCTGAATAATGCAACCTTAGGTGATTTCACTGTGAGAACATCATAGAGTTACAGAAGGTAATTATAGAAACCTAGATTGTTTAGCTGACTACACAATTGGGCTATATTCTGTAAATTATTGCCCCTTGGCTATAAGCCTGTATATACACTATCTTATGGAACAGACTACTGTAGGCAATTGTAACACCATGTTGAATATCTGCGTATCTAAATATGTTTAAACATAGAAAAAAGTGCAGTAAAAATACGATATCATCTTTGGGGATCACCATCACATGTGTGGTCTAGTATTGATGGAAATGTCATTATGCAGCAAATAACTGTATTTCTTAACTCCTGCAGAGTCTACTAATTTTGAGCAATAATTTGAAAGAAACACTGTATCTCTTTGTCTTCATATATTTATATACATATATATTTATACATAAAAGCCCTCCACGTCCACTACCCATTAGACACTGTGTATAGTGTTTATAGCTCTCTCATGTAAAAATGAATTAACTTGCTAGATGTATTTTATAAAGAAAGTTGAAAATATATTTGGATTAAAGTTGGAAATATTTGTATTTGGAAATTTTCATGGGAAGGAACACATTTGAAGGAAAATATCTTTAGAAAATATAACTGGTAGGGTGAATACAGAAATGTGGTGTATGAATGCATTTTAACAGTGGTTTTAATTGTACCTTAAAGACATCTCTCATACTCAAAGGAAAGATACTTGTGGTTATTGTTATTTTCTTTTTTGGATTAAGAACAGTTTACACTTTTTTAATTCTCTTCTGTTTAGTATTATTACTATAAAATAAGCAACAATTTATAAAATGAATTTTGATCAGAAATCTTAAAGACATGGGCAGCTCTGTTAGCTAATGTGCTAACAGAGGGCAGAACATGAAGAGGTGGTAGAAGGAGTATGTTGTGATTGCCAATGCAGGGCTGTGACAAGATTTAGTCTAGGCACTGTAACATCTATGTTTTACATCAATTAATTACCCTCACCACCACTAGCTCTCTTTCTGAAATCTGATTTAAAGAACACTGGTTAGAACTCATGTTAGATTTTAGTTTGGAGCAAGACTTGATTGTGATCCACCTATCAATGATAAAATGAAATGGATGATAATGGATCTTGGTGAATTAATCTTATTAGGAAAACACTACATTTAATCTGAAAACATAGAATAGATGATAAGAAACAAGAGAGGAATTGTGTCAGGTATTGTCTATTTGACTTACCACGTCCACTCTGCACTCTTCTTGATCCTGCTCTCTTCCCTGAGAGACTGACGGTATGAACTGTATCAATGTGTTCTCATGTCTTTTGACTTCAAATTGGGATTAGCCTTTTAAGACTCACAGGTGAACATCAGAAAACAGGAGGAGAAAAATATCAAAGTATTGACTTATCTGGCTTCCTTCTAAAATAAGCATTAACAAATTATGTGTTAATGAATGAAGCAAATAAAAATATTAAAAAAATTATAAAATTGTCTAAAATCAGGAATATTTTCTACAACTTTCTTGGTTAGAAAATATAGAACATCTAAAAACAAATAAATAATATATCAATAACATTTTATGATTTATTTTCCTGTTTTAATGTTAAGAACCATCATCAATCCACCAAAATGACATGTATACTATGAAGTAAGTGTTGATGACCTATCATAAACTTGCTTTTGGAAACAGATGATAATAGGATATGAATTCTAATAAAATTAGTTACTTATAAGTCCTTATTATTTTTTTGCCTGATGCATGTTAAGTTAAACAATAGGTTAGAAATGCCTTAATCCCTTCCCCAATAAGGAAAAATATTAATGATAGTTTGTTTTTTGTTATTTTCCAGATAAACTTTCCTGTCTTTTTTATATGAAAAATAGAGGTGAGAAAGTGACAAAAAGAAGCACACACAAAAAATCATCACAAAAGACCTTAGGCAAAGAATAAAATAAGGGTCATTTAATTATGAGTAAAGAAGGGGTGCTTAGACGTCTGAAACCAATGAGACCAGCAATGTTGCCAGTAATCTCCCTTTCAATCCTGTTTCCTTGTGTGTGTGAGCCTTTTTTTTTTAAAATTCAGACAATCTCTTCCCACCTATTTCTGAACATAGGCAAGAATAGTCATTAAAAAGCACTACATGTATTGTCTACTCCTAGAACAATCAACTGTAGACAGAGATACATAGTTATACATTGTGAAGCAGAACTTTATAGTTGTAATGTTATAGCTGTAGTAAGGAGGTGGGTTGGAAAGGGAAGCTGATGTTGTTAAAAGAGACACTTCCATTCTCAGAGACAGAAAATTGCTAGGCAGAGTCAACAGTAGACACTCAACAGAGGATAGAAGATGGGGAAAGAGTCCAGCATGTATTTTTTCCAAAACAAAATGTTTTAAATCTAGGAGAATTGCTATCTACATGCAGGATAATTCCCCACATTATCTTTTTTTTTTTTTTTTTTTTTTTGCATTTTAGGTTTTGGGGTACATGTGAAGAACATGTGAGATTGCTGCATAGGTACACCCATGGCAATGTGACTTGCTGCCTTCCTCCTCATCACCTATATCTGGCATTTCTCCCCATGTTATCCCTCCCCAACTCGCCACCCCCTGCTGTCCCTCCCCTATTTCCCCCGACAGACCCCAGTGTATGATGTTCCCCTCGCTGTGTCCATGTGTTCTCATTGTTCAACAGCCGCCTATGAGTGAGAACATGCGGTGTTTGATTTTCTCTTCTTGTGTCAGTTTGCTGGGACTGATGGTTTCCAGATTCATCCATGTCCCTACAAAGGACATGAACTCATCATTTTCTATGGCTGCATAGTATTCCATGGTGTATATGAGCTACATTTCTTTATCCAGTCTATCATCGATGGGCATTTCGGTTGGTTCCAAGTCTTTGCTATTGTAAACAGTGCCACAATGAACTTTTGTGTGCATGTGTCCTTATAATAGAATGATTTATAATACTTTGAATATATACCCAGTAATGGGATCGCTGGTCAAATGGAATTTCTATTTCTAGGTTCTTGAGGAATCACCACACTGTCTTCCACAATGGTTGAACTAATTTACACTCCCACCAACACTGTAAAAGTGTTCTATTTTTCCACATCTTCTCCAGCATCTGTTGTCTCCAGATTTTTTAATGATCACCATCCTAACTGGCGTGAGATGGTATCTCAATGTAGTTTTTATTTGCATTTCTCTAATGACCAGTGATGATGAGCATTTTTTCATATGTTTGTTGGCCTCATGTATGTCTTCTTTTGTAAAGTGTCTGTTCATATCCTTGGCCCACTTTTGAATGGGCTTGTTTGTTTTTTTCTTGTAATCCCCACATTATCTTTAAGTGCTTCGGGAGCATAAATGTTGCATGTTTTATGTGGAGAGAGTGGTAAAGAGTAAAGATGGTGCAACAGCAAGGGTGGGAGCAGGAAAAGTTATCACTGAATTAAAACATAATAGATTGAAAAATAAATAGGTTGAAAATAAAATACTTTATTTTACAGAAACAAGCTTGTCCATTGCTTTACCAGTATTTTAATACATTCAGAAAGAAAATGTTTTCTTTGAAAACCTTCCTCTGATAGATTTGCAGATCCTGCTAATGTCAAAAAGAAGTTGTACCTTTTCTCTTCATACACTGGAGGCTTGATGAAACTACACACATTTATCTATAATTTTACTTTATAATAATGTTTAAACGTCCAGGAAAAAGAAAGTGTCTTTTTTCTTTTTTTTTTTCCCGTTTATTTATTTTATTGCATTTTAGGTTTTGGGGTACATGTGAAGAACATGCAAGATTGTTGCATAGGTACACATGTGGCAGTGTGGTTTGCTGCCTTCCTCCCCATCACCCACATCTGGCATCTCTCCCCTTGCTATCTCTCCCCAGCTCCCAACCCCCACCGTCCCTCCCCTATTTCCCCCCAACTGACCCCAGTGTGTAGTGCTCCCCTCCCTGGAATATTATGCAGCCATAAAAAAACGATGAGTTTGTGTCCTTTGTAGGGACATGGATGAACCTGGAAACCATCATTCTCAGCAAACTGACAGAAGAGCAGAAGGTCAAACACCGCATGTTCTCACTCATAGGCGGGTGTTGAACAATGAGAACACATGGACAAAAGTATCTTTTTTCTTAATGATGCTATAAAGGGCAAGGTGGAATGACACAGTTGAATCATGGTTTTGATTCCTTTCCTTTTGTAATCAGCTCAGTTTGCACAACAAAATGCTCAGTCAAGACATAAATCTCTCTCTAAAAATCACAATCTGTAAACACTGTGATTTTAAGCACTCACTGTTGCTAAACTTTCCCTTTACATTTGTGGTAACAGCTTTGATGTAGAATAAACTGTGACACCAGAAATGGACCATGGTGGTGTTCCATTTATTTTATTTTGTATAATCAGAAAATTAGATTTTTAAAGTAATTGCTACATTTCTATGGTGGCTTTTACAAAGTGAAGTATTACTCTTATATGTAGAATAAAATTCAATTCAATTACCAAATGGCTTATTTAAATAGCTGGTTATATTTTACATATAAATCTATGTAAGTACTTTCTTCTGTTTGAAGCTTTTTAAAGATCTCTGGAGTGACTGCTTGAAATTTAATTTTTGTTTATTCAACATTATCTATATGCCACTATATGTAAGACTACCATGCCATTTAAAATTTTTAGATATTTTGAGGTTTCAACATGACTTGAAATTTTTGTGACAACTCTTTTTTTATATATATTCATATCACTGTCAGCAATTTCAATGTGTTGAATACTATTCCTGGACAGAATATGTTGAAGTCTTAATCCCTGGTTCCTGTGAACATGACCTTATTTGGAAAGATGGTCTTTGCACATGTATTTACACTAAGAGGGAAAAATAAAGCCCTAAATCCAATGGCTAGTGATTATATAACAAGAAGGAAATTTGGATATTCATTGAAACACAGGAAAGAAGCTCATCTGAAGGCACAAGCAGGTACTGAAGTGAGAGAGCTACAGCTCAAGCAATGACAAGGGTTGCTGGCAATGATCACAAGATAGAAACAGGCAAAGACAGATTCTTCTCTTAGGTTTCAGAAGGAACATGACACTGTTTACTTTGATTTTGGAATTCTAGGCTCCAGAACTGTGAAAACGCAAGTATTTTTGTGTGTTAAGCCACCATATTTGTCATTTGTTTTGGCAAGTCTAGGAAACTAATAATGGCAGCTATCATAATGGGGCTGGAAAATAAACATAGAAAAATAATTTTTGGAAAAAAATAACATGTTAAAAAGTAATTAATTTTACTGTGATTAATAAAATACACAGGGAATTATAAAGACATTGTCCTTAAAAATGTGTGTGTGTGTGTGTGTGTGTGTGTGTGTGTGCATGTTTATATCTATGTATATGAGGAGAAGGACATGGGTATGGGAAATAGCTTACACATTCAGTTGTGACAACTTTTTTGACTTGCAATATGAGAGAAAGAAGCATCTAAGAATACACATAGAAAAATATCCTTTTAACTTACTATTTAAATATATAGATATTTGTGAACTAGGTTTTAAAATTTCAAGTTTTGCTGGCCCAGGGAAGAACTTATGGCTGCTCCAGGGTAAGATTTCAATAAATATATTTCCAGTTTTATATATATATATATATATATATATATATATATACACACACAGAAACATACATATGTAAAGAAGTTATTAAATATATATAATATATATGGCAGTTATTAAATAGGTAAATTGTGAAGAATATTCAAATAAAATATTACAAGCATAGTAATTGTAGAAAATCTCTGTTTTTCAAATTAGAATAAACAAAGGGAAAATGCAAAACCACCTATTCCATATAGGCATAAATAAAGCCAAGTTTATTAAACCATCTTTACTCCAACAAAGGCATATTATCTCTTCCTCCATTATAATCCAACAGCATATTTGCACTTATTAAAATGAGAATTATCTTTGCCTATTGTCATTTGTACATATACATACTCAACTATATTATATCTGCTGCTGGAATTCAAAGTTTTAAATTCAGTTTATGTCTTCATCAACATCAAATTTATAAAAGTGTATCATATAGATTGTGATCAATATATAGTGTTGATTGGGTAAGCAATAACTTTTATAACCAACCTCTAGAATCAATATATCTTATAAATACTGCTTACAGCCAATGCCATGTGTTTTAGAACATAACAGAATGAGAGTGATTAATAGTTTGCAATAGAGATCATCAGAATTATTTTAAAAATAAATTATTTCTATGTCAGTCAGAAAAAACACGTGAATGTCTGTATCATAAAGTTCAGTTAGGATTTCCCACTTTGTCAAAGATTAGAATTAGGTCATGTATGAAAGGTTATACTTTTTTTATTCCATAATTTTTGTGTATCAATAAATTAATTAGGAAAATTACTTCAAGTAAGGTTTGTGACATGTTGAATGTTAAACAATATACCCTGCAATTTGGATAACTATTCCTTATATAACTGTTATTTGCTATTCGCTGACTTATTAACTGGCTGGCTTTATCTAATCTCATGTATTTTATTTTTCAAGGAATCAATATGAGTATTTTCATCTTTTAACTGTTGAAAGTCTGTGTTTAACATAAATGTCAACCAGCAACATGCCTATGTGTTTTTCTAAAACTGTAATGCCAAAAACACAGTAGATTTTAAAGTATAAAATTTTTTTAAAATACCAATTTCACATTTCATGGTTTTTAAACTAGTTCCTGGAAGTGATAAGAAATAACATATTTCCAAATCCTCATTCTATTGATGACAAATATAAATTATAAGTATATATAATATTAAAAATTGAATAAACAATTTCAGCACCATTTCAATTGACCCTCTTATTTCCTTTTGCTTATGTGAATTTTAACATGAATGGGAGTTTTGCAAAATTAAAAGATGTTCTAATAAATAAAATTTCTTCAGAGTCTTTGTAAATGTTGTTTTTTTTTGTTTTTTTGTCTATTTTGAACCAGCAGATTCCCTCTTTTCAATAATGCTGTGGATGTCATGTGGCTAATCAAAACTCTTAATTACAAATAAAATTCAGTTCTTGTGCATTTCAATTTGAGAAGCTATGAGTAAAAATGAGAGAGACAAAGGCTGGTATGGGATCATCCTAGTAATAATACATACATAAAAAATTTATTGTTAAAACTAAATAGGAATCCTGCATGTTCTGCACATGTACCCCAGAACCTAAAGTGCAATAAAACATGTGTGTGTGTGTGTGTGTGTGTGTGTGTGACCAAATTATAGAAAAGAAATACAAATCAGTTGTTGCTGAAAGGTAGAGTTAGGGCCTGTGACAAGATGGTGAATGGGACTGTAAAGGAATAGCACAAGGTGGATATTTGTGATGATGGAATAGTTCTGTGGCTTAACTGTGGTGATGTTTACACCACCCTGCAAATGTGATTGCATGATGCAGAGCTACACTCATGCACTGTACCAATGTTCGCTGATAGTCATTGTTGATTTTATTATTTGTGTGTGCTTGATATGCCATCTATACATTATTTTGTTTGCCTTCCAAACAACATGGTTGAATAAACATTGTTGATACAACTTATAGAAATATAATTTAGATGACTACTTTTGCAATTCTATTGTTTCCATTGCTATTGGACCAAAGGCCTAGTGAAAAAAAAATAATAAGGTGAATAAGTATACAGTTATGATATGTGAAGAACCTTCTTACCTGGCAGGAGGTGGGCTGTTGGTTACTCACATGGTCTTCTACAAGTCTACTGTAACTGTAAGGCAGCAACTCCTTCATTAATTGAGCATTCTTTGCTGTCTGAACGGATTCTATTCAAGTGTGGGCAGGTTTATATAAGAATGGCAACAACCCAAATGCCCATCAATGATAGACTGGATAAAGAAATGTAGCACATATACACCATGGAATTCTATGCAGCCATCAAAAAGGATGAGTTCATGTCCTTTGAAGGGACATGGTTGAAGATACAAATCATCATTCTCAGCAAAGTGACACAAGAACAGAAAACCAAACACCGCATGTTCTCATTTATAAGTGGATGTTGAACAATGAGAAAACATGGACACAGGGAAGGGAACATCACACTCCGGGGCCTGTCGGGTGGTGGGGAACTAGGGGAGGGAGAGCAGGGGGTGGGGGGATTAGGGAGGGATAGCATTAACAGAAATACCTATGTAGATGATGGGGGGATGGATGCAGCAAAGCACCATGGCACATGTATACCTATGTAACAAACCTGCATGTTCTGCACATGTACCCTAGAACTTAAATAATTAAAAAAAAACCAGAAAGCCAGATTAAAAAAAAAAGAATAACTTATATATCAAGCAGATATGAAGTAAATGCTGTGTTTACACTGCATAATATAAAGTTCAAGAAATTATTTAATTCTTCATAATGTAGAAATTTCATGAAAAAAATAACGAAGACAATTTCTTCCAGTTCAGCAATTCATCATATTTTAATACTTTGACATTATTAAATATTTTTGTTATAAACAGTTTTATAATAAGATATTCATTTTAATAATGAAACACATTAGGTTTTCTTCATTAGGATGTACATTTTTGATCAAAATTGCTGCTGTTGTAGGTGATCATTTTTATATGTCTGTAACTCTATTAGTGTAGATAGAAAAATCAATGTCAAATAGTTTTTCAAGGCAAAATGCACAAACATATTGAAATAGATTTTGCATATATGAGAGTTAAATTTATACTTCAAGAAATTTAACATCTTTAGCAGTTGCTACTTCTTTTATTTGATAAAAACATGAGAATAATATTTGACATGTTGAAAATAATATGACCCAAAATATTAAGATTGAATTTGGCATAAAAATGGGTCACTAATACCCAAATTAGTAGATTGTTAAAAGAGATGTGAATATGCATGTTGAAATGCTAAATGTATTTTCAAGAATTCACGTACTTAAAATATCCTGAAATGTGTCAATATGACATTAAGGATTTTAAAAATCCATCTTGTAAAATATTTGATAATATAGACAATTTTATTTCATCAAAGATATCATTGTAATTTCAATGATATTACAATATCAATGGGAAATTATGGAGTAGTTTAATATTAAATAAGTTTTTATTGTTTTGAGACAGGGTCTTTCTCTGTCACTGAGGCTGGACTGCAGTGGCACAATCATGACTCAGTGTAACCTTGAACACCTGAGCTCAAACAATCTTCCCATCTCTGCCTCTCAAATTGCCAGGATTACAGGTGAAAGCCACCATGCCTGGACTAATATTTTAAATCTATTTCTTTTAATATCAAGAATATTAAAAACTGCACCTGAAAATTTTATTTCTAATGGCCATGTATTTGGTTTTAAATTGTAACATTCTTTAATTACAAATAAAAAATTTCATAATTTTCAATTATCTTTTAAAACTGAGTATTAGAACTATATAGGCTATACAGAATTTGTGATATTAGCCTTAAAATGTGTGTTTCATCTGAATATGTAAACAAATAAATAAAAATTTTAAGCATCTAACAAGAAAAATATTATATTGCCAAATTTCAAATACTTCTAGCTTTATTTTCAATTCATAATTATTATACACTTCAAATATTTTAGATAATCTATATACTATTTAATTGCCTGTTACCTTGAATAATAAATGAATGAGTTTAACTGAAAAATAAAACTAAGTATCTAAGTACATTAGCCTTGTTTAAAATTTCTTTTGGAGTCATTTTTTCTTAGCACTTTTCCTTTTCCAAATTCGTACATGGAGGGTACATCTTTCTGTTTTCTTTGTCCATGGTTGCTCATCACTACTAAGACAAGCAAAAAATTATCCTCACTGATTCCATTATTAATTACAGTTTTCGTACCTCAGGCATGCCTTCAGATTGTTCTCAATGTCTAATGCCATGTGACAGATTGCCACAGAACATAGTTTCTTAAATGATTGACTATTCACAGCTGGACAGTTCTCTCTTGGAGTTTCTCAAAGGCTTGCCGACTAATGGCACCTGGAGCTAAAGTCCCCTGAAGGCAGAATTGAGCCTGATGTGCAAGATGTCTTTTTCATTCACTTGTCTGGTGCATGGACTAGAATGGTTGTAATAGATGCAACTGAAAATAAACTAATTTCTTTCTCTTTTTCTCCTCTTCACCCCACTCCCAACAACTCCACACAGCATCCACAGCTGCTCCTATACATTCCTAATGTTTTTGTTTTGCTGACATTTTTTGATGTTGATAAATAAACAAGTACTAACAACTATTCATCCTTGTCATCTGGCCTATGATTGGAAGACATGATCTGTTCTAAACATATGCCTTTTAAACACTAAAAATGCATATGCTTTTTATACACATCTATATTAAAATGAAATTGTAATATGTCATTCAAAATGAACCAGTCATGGTGGCTGAGATTATACCTGTAATCCCAGCTAATTGAGAGAGTGAGGCAGGAGAATTGCTTGAACCCAGGAAGCACAGATTGCAGTGAGCCAAGATTGCACCACTGCACTCCAAGCTGGGTGACAAAACACGACTCAGTCTCAAAAAAAAAAAAAATTGAGTGTACTAAGTTTTAAAATGATTGTGTTGGGAAGTACACAGTTGTAGTATGTTGGTAAAATTGATCACACATGCTCAATGGAGGCCACCAAAGAATACATTTAACTGTAACTTCGTAGGTAACCAGATACATCAACAAATGATTCTGTCACCCAAGTATTGAGCATAGTACTCAAAAGTAGTGTGTCAAAATTTGCTTACCTCTTTCCCTCTTCTAGAAGTCCCAGTATCTATTGTTGTCATCTTCACGTCCATGAGTACCCAATGTTTCACTGCCACTTGTTAGAACATGCAGTATTTGATTTTCTGTTACTACATCAATTCACTTAGGATAATGGCTCCAAATTCACTTAGGAAAATGGTCTCCAGCTGCATTCATGCTGCTGCAAAGGACATAATTTTGTTCTTTATGGTTGTGTGGTATTCTATGGTGTAAATATATCACTTTATTTATCCCATCCACAACTGATGGGCATGTAAGTTGATTCCATGTCTTTTCTATTGTGAATAGTGCTGCCATGAACATCTGATTGCATGTGTCTTTTTGGTAGAATATTTGTTTTCTTTTGGATATATACTCAGTAGAGAAATCTAAGAATTCTACTTTTGACAATGGCTGAACTAATTTAAATTCCCATCAACAAGTGTATAAGCATTCACTTTTCTCCTCAGACTCTCCTGTATCTGTTGTTTTTCTCTTCTTCATTTCAATAGATCAGTTAACGTTTATTTAATTAATACTTTAATTCTAGAACAGCTTCAAGTTTGCAGAAAAATTGAGCACTTAGTACAGAGAGCTCCCATGTAACCCTAACCCCATTTTCCTCTATTTTTAACATTCTGCATTAGTGTGGCAAGTTTGTTAGTTTTTTAATCTGTTTTAATATATTCAAATATATTCACATTCACTAAAGTCTATATTCACTGAAGTTTACAATAAGGTTCACTATTTTTGCCATATAACTTTTACTGGTTTTGGTAAATGCAGAATGTCATTAATGCACACTTATGATGTAAAATAGAATGGTTTACTGCCCTAAAAATCCCTTGTGTTCCACCTATTTGTCCAACCCTTTCTTCAAAATCTGGACAAACAATGCTCTTTATCTATACCATGTCTATCATTTTCCTTTTCCAGAATGTCATACAGTTGGAATAAGACAGCATGTATCTTTTACAAATTGGCTTCTTTTGCTTAAGTCTATGCATTTAGGGTTACTTCATGCTTTTCATGATTCCATAGCTCTTTTCAAATAACTAAATAAAATCACTTTGTATGAATATAAAAAGTTTGCCCATTTAACAATTTCAAAACATATTGGATGCCTTTTTTTTCTTTTTCAGTTAGAAATTCAGCTGCTATCAACACTGATATGCAGGTTTTTGTGCAAATGTAAATTTTTAACTGGATGGAAGTATATATCTATAGGTGTGATTGGTGGATCTTATGGTAAGACTATGTTTAACTTCCTAAGAAATGCCAAACACTCCCTAAAAGTGCTTTATGCCATTCTGTATTTCTACCAGCAACCAATGAGAGTTCTTGTTATTCTACATCTTTTCCATCATTTGAAATCATTGCCAATTTCAATTTCACTGGAAACAGGTCTTCACTTTTGAAATTTAAAATAAAAAGAAAGCCTCACAAGCAATAAAACTAGAATAATATTTAAATTTTAAAATTAAGTTAAGTTTATTAGGAAATTGTTCTCTTCTAGAATGTTTTACTCACGTGATTTTTAACAAAATAAAATATAGCATATATAGGTTCAAATGACAGTTCATATTTAAAAAACTGGACCATAGCTAAAATGTTCATTTGTAAAGTTATTAAAATTAGTAATTTAACACAGCCTGATAAAGATTGTTTTTAATTTTCAGGGATTTAATCAAACAAAATTTTTATTTACAATAAATTAGCATATCTTTTCTATGGCTCTTAAAATCATCCACAGTTAGCTGTATTATGTGTCTTGACTTAAAGGGAGAAACATGAATATTAACATCACTCTCTAAAAATTCTATTCCAAAGAATTAAAGAAAAAAATTTGTTTTAATTGGAAGTGTATTTATAGAAAAACTCTACCTTATCCAATGAGCTTGCAAGCTTCATAAGTGAAACAGAATAAAATGAAATTCTATTATGTGTCTTGTTTTAATAATTTAATTTAATTTAAAACAACTAAATAGAATAAACTTTATGTTTCCAAATTCAGTCAACTTATTTGAGTATCTGCTATTTGGGAAGAACTGGACCAACATTTTGATACTAGTCAAATAATCTGAAATCTGTGAATATGCCCAATATAACACATATTATAGTAGGGATTGGAATTTCTAAATGATATGTAAGTAAAAAAAGTAATCTAAGTAATCTATTTGCACATGATGAATTATTATGTTTCAGAGATTCAGAAGTGTTCGTTATTTTTATAATTTAGTGTCTTAATGGCATTTTTAAACTGTGGTATTTGATTTCCTCACTTATGTACTAATTATTTGCTTTAAAATTCAATTGAAAGTGCAAACTAATAAATTTATCATATGTAAAATAATATGTAGTTATAATAAAAGAATTTAAAAGTCATAGTGTAATTAAAAACTGAGAAATAGGAAATTCCAGCAGTCAGTGCTAAAAGGAGATTTGTTCATTTAACAGTGGAGAGAGGTCATTTTTGGAGAGCCAATATACAAGCACAGTGGGAGACACCTACAAAGGCATAATATCTTCAAATCAGATTGATGTAAGTTACTCTTGGTTACCCGCAGGCACCCCCAATTATCTAGAATTACTATCCCAGTTAAGCACCTGTCTTTACAGTTGAGTGTTATTAGGCTCGATTTGATAAGATGGGAAAGTCCCAATTAAGAGGGCTCCCTAATTAAGCATGCTTTGATTAAGTGGAGCAACCTGATTACTCAAAAACATGATTTTCTGTCCTACTTCAATAACATCACGATTCATTGCTTAACGTATTTTATCTGTGTAAGTAGTTCTGGAATTTTTTAATCCTAAATATGTAATAATAGTTAAAAGGAAAAAAATCAGAAATGTTGGCAGAAATAATGGAAGTATGGCAAAATCTTTTTCTCTCACCACTAAGTTAAAAGTAAGGCTAAAATTACACACAACACACACACACACACACACACACACACAATCACATATAAAATTCCATTTCCTGAAATTTTTCTTGGTTTTATTTTGAATATTCCATAGAACATTTGAATTTTCAATTGCATTTAGAGCCTCTTGATAATTATGAGCAGCCAATATCTTTTGTGTGACTTGTGGCTATGTGTGTGTGTGGGAATAGGAAATGGTGCTATTGGAAATGGCATGATATTATCCAGAAAACAGATGCATGTGCTAATATTTTATGATGTTACCATTATATATGTATCACGTTAAATGTTGCATTATGTCAATGTAATATTTTCATGAATATTTTTGAAAAAGAAGCATTTTTCATTGAATCATTATATCTATTTTAGTTTATATTATTCCATGGCATTTATCATTATATTTTGTAATTTAATTTGTAAATTAATTATATAATGCCAAAGTAGATGGCAGACAGGGAAAAAATGAAATTTAGCAGCTGGTAGTACATGACAGTTTTTCTGTTAAAACTAATATGTTTTATGAGTGATGGGACGATTAAATGGCTATGTTAAAATTTATATGAATAATCAATTCATTGGGTGCAGGTCATGCAGCATAGATTTTAATGATTTGAAGTGACAGTGTTAATGGAGTCATTCTACTAACAAGCCCAATTTGATCTATTCATTCTATAAATAGTTGACTAACCTCTATTAATCAAGCTTCATGCTAGATAAAGCCTTATGTATTGGAAATCAGAGCCCTCAATAATTGAAAACCTAAATGAATATTGAATGATAGTGGGCTAAAGTTGAAGAAAATATGAAAAGGGAAGGAGATATGAGCATGGCTATAATGTGTCTTTGGAAAATGAGAGTATTTTCTCAAAGCATCTTTTACATTACTTACCTAAGTCTTAAGCTAAATCACTCTCTAAACTAGGAGGAAATAAAGATAGTTTTAAATATGCATGCATTTATGTTGTGATTTGTGTTGTCACTGTTGTTACTTAACCACAAACCCGTGCTTCAGTTTGGTTGGTTTAACATTAACTTTATATTTTCAATTACTCTCAGATCTATGTGTGTGTGTGTGTAGATACAAGGCAGAATACATATATACTTGAAGTGTGGCAATATATAAGTTGATAGTAAAAAATATAATATTGATTTTACAACATAATTATTTTACTAAACATAGCCTTTAAGGGTTTTTTTTGTTTTTTTGATTTTTTTCTTTTGCCCAATATACAAGGTTGGTAAACTCAGAATAATAATAGTCAATTGTAATTGTCATATATACTTTGATTCTCCAAAAAATACTTTCCTATCTGAGATCATGTATTTCATTATTTTTTTATTCATTTTGAATAATATATTTACTAGCTTTGTTCCTATAAGAATTCTCTTAGAGGGACAGAACTAATAGGAGATATATATATATATATATATCTCATTTTATATTGAGAAATTTTATATAGGACATATATATATACATATCATTTTTTATTGAGAAAGGTCTTGATATAAAATATATTAAAAATGTATGCAAATCACTAAGAAAAATCACAATTATTCCAATAGAAAAATGAACAAAACAGTGTAAAAGGAAAATCACAGTGAATTTAGAGTGTTTAGTCATTGTGTATTAGTGCATGTACTTGTGTACTTATCATATATGAAGTCACAGGGAAAATGCAAAGTCAAATCAAATCTGAATTGTACTAAATATTCACCAGTAGATCGAAAATGAAAAAAGGACAGACTATATCAAATGTTGATACTCATGTATCCAAGACCCCCAGGCCAACTTCAATCTGAGTGAAGTTTGGTTACGGGCTCATTATAATCAATAAAACAACATATTATTGTGAATTCTAGAGCATTTCAGTAAAAGCCTGTTTTAGATGGATTCAAAGGAGAGAGGTTTGCTCTCAAATGATTGTTTTCAGATATCCTTGTCCAGACTGGGTGCTATTAGGTAGTGGGGTTAATTTAATGGTTTAGTAGCTTTATGAATATTATATAAGAGACAAGAAATGGAATAAGGCTAAACACAATTGGTAAAGAAGCAACAGTCGCTCAGGTTAGCTGGGAAGGGAGCTAACCTTCAAGATATTTGTGGTGTGCCCAGTGACCTTGTTTTTGTCTCTGGTCAGAAAAACAATGACTTATGTCGGTGTTGTAACTGTTTATGTTTAACAGATGAACAACAT